CAATAAATGTACAAATGCGCTTTACACAATTGATGTATGTATGGATTGTGATAAGAGTTGTATGAGCCCCTAATAAAATGATTTTTAAAAAAAGGAAAAATCTTAATTTATTTTAATATTGACTTTATTTTCTGTCCCTGCCATCACCATCACAAGATGATAGGAACTTTGCTTTATTTGCTGTGAAATCTTTAGTACCTAAGAGAGTGATTGACATATAGCAGGTGCTCAAAAAGAATGCCAAATGAATTTTTTTTTAAGAAGGTAAGATTTAGACCTAGGCAGCCTGCCCCTTAGGCCACACTCTTTTACCTCGACATTATACTATTTATAATGAATATTATGCACACAAAAAATACTACATATGTTTATAAACTAATTATATATGTTTAAAGAAATAAAATATTTTTTTTGCTTTACACGAATCAAATAACAGGGATGGGAACAGTGATAACAGAGGGGTAGGAAGAAGATGGGGAGAGAAGGGGAAGAAGGGGGAACCAATTGCAATGATCCAAACATAACCACACCCCCATCTCCCTCCAGGGGGAAGAACCATGGGGGAAGGGAGACAGGGATAAGATATGAAAATAATAATTTATAATTTATCAAGGGTCAAGGGGGAAGGGTTGGGAGGGAAAAAAGAGAAGCCGATACGAAGGGCTCAATAGAAAGTAAATGTCGTGCTTGCTGCGGCAGCACAGATACTAAAACTGGAACCATACAGACAAGATTAGCATGACTCCTGTGCTAGGACGACACGCAAATTTGTGCAGTGTTCCGCATTTTTCACAACACAGGGATCCAAGACAGATGAACCCCTCAGGACCAATAATTAGATTAGTGATACCAGGAGGGGAAGGGGAAGGTGGGGGGAGAGAGGAGGAACTGATTGATTGCCATATAACCCCCTCCCAGGGTGACAAACAACAAAAAAATTGAGTGAAGGGAGACATCGGTCGGTGTAAGACATAAAAAAAAACTATAAATTATCAAGTATTCATGAAGGAGGGAGGAGGAAAGAGGGGAGAGGGGGGAATGAGCTGATACCAAGGGCTCAAGTAGAAAGAAAATGTTTTGAAAATGATGATGGCAACAGATGTACAAATGTGCTTGACACTATGGATGGATGGATGGATTGTGATAAGAGCTGTAAGAGCCCTCAATAAAATGATTAAAACATTTATTTATTTATGATCATTCAAGGGATTTTAATTTATTTTTAATTTTTAATCATTTTATTGGGGGCTCATACAACTCTTACCACAATCCATCCATCCATCGTGTCAAGCACATTTGTACATCTGTTGCCCTCATCATTCACAAAACATTTGCTTTCTACTTGAACCCTTGCTATTAGCTCATTTTTCCCCTCCCTCCCAGCTCCCCCCTCCCTCATGAACCCTTGATAATTTATAAATTATTATTTTGTCATATCTTGCCCTGTCCAACGTCTCCCTTCACCCACTTTTCTGTTGTCTGTCCCCCAGGGAGGAGGCTATATGTAGATCCTTGTAATTGGTTCCCCCTCTCCACCCAACCCTCCCTCCACCCTCCCAGTATCACCACTCTCACCACTGGTCCTGTAGGTATCCATCTAGGAAACAGCTGTAAACATTAATTAATAATTAGAATTTGGAACATACAAAGTATGAATCTAGGAATATTGGAAGACATCCAAAATGAAAAGGAATGCATAAAAACTGATATTCTAGGCATTAGTGATCTGAAATGTACTAGTTTGGCCATTTTAAATCAAAAAATCATGTGGTTTACTATGCGGGGAATGATATCATCAAGAGGAAGTGCGTTAGAGTGATCTTCAAAAAGGACATTTAAGGATCTACCTTGAAGTGCAGTGCTGTTGGTGATAGGGTAATTTCTGTCTGCATACAAGGCTATCCAGTCAATACAACTATTATTCAAATTTATACACAAAAAACTAAAGCTAATAATGCAGAAATTTGAAGAATTCTACCAACTTCTTCAGTCTAAAATGGATCACACTTGCAATTAAGAGGCACTGATAATTAGTGGTGATTGAAATGCAAAAGTTGGAAACAAAAAAGAGCAGTAGTTGACAAATAGGGTCTTATTGACAGAAAACTAGAGATCACATGATAGACTTTTGCAAGGCCAACAACTTCCTCATCACAAATATCTTTATTCAACAACATAATAGGCAACTATACACATGGACTTCTCCAAATAAAATATTCAGAAATTGAGTTGACTACATCCATGGTAAGAGACAGTAAAGAAGTTCAATATGAGCTACAGTCTGGCAGGGACCAACTGTGGAACAAATCTTCAATTGCTCATATGGAAGTTAAGGTTGAAGGTGAACAAAATTAAAACAGATCCACTTGAGTGGAAATATGACCTTAAATATATGCCACCTGAAAGTGGAAAATATCTCAAGAACAGATGTGCTGCATTAAAACATCAATGACAGAAGACCTGATGATCAGTGGGGTGACACCAAGGACACCAGGCATGAAGAAAGCAAAGACGGGAAAGAAAAGAACGGTGTGAGTGTCAAAAGGGACTCGGAAACTTGCTCTTAATCATAGAGTGGACAAGGCACGCTGAAGAGATAATGACGTCAGAGCCCTGGACAGGGAAGCTCATAGAGCAGCTCTAGAAGGCAAAGTGAAATATTATAATGAAATATGAAGTCCGAGAGTTAGAAAACCAAAACTAAAGAACACAGCATATCTGAATCTGAAAGAACTCCAAGGAAAAAACTGCAATATTGAAAGATTTCATGGGAAAACTACTGAATGATGTAAAAAACATCAAAAGAAGATGGAAAGAATACAGAGTCGCTGTACCGAAAAGAACTTCCGATCAAAAAGTTGACATTCAACCATGAGTAAGAACCAATGGTAATGAAGGAAGAATTTCAAGCTGCACTGAAAACATTAGCAAAAAACAAGCTGATGAAGCACTGGAAGCACTCATTCATCTATACCAAGAAATTTGGAAGAGAGCTACTTGCCCAACTGACTGGAAGAGATCCGTATTTGTACCCATTCCAAAGAAAAGTGACCCAACTGAATGCACAAATCATAGAATAATATCACTGATACCGCATGTAAGTAAAGTTTTTCTGGAGCTTATCTAAAAGCAGTTATATAGCTGCCAGAGGTTACGGTCCGGTCCAGAAGAGGATGTGAAAACAAGAGATAACATTGCAAAAGACAGATGGATCTTTGCTCACAGCAGAGAATACGACAAAGATGTTGACTTGTGTTGTACTGACTATGCAAAGACTTTCAACTGTGTGGATCATAGCAAACTACGGATAATCTTAAGAAAGGGAATTCCAGAACACTTCATTGTGCTCATGCAGAACCTGTACATAGATCCAGAGGGAGTTGTGGAAAGAACAAGGGAATACTGCATGGATTAAAATCAGGAAAGGTGTGGGTCAGGGTTGTATCCTCTCACCATACTTATTCAATCTGCATGCTGAGCAAATAACCAGAGAAGCTATATTATATGGAAAAGAATGCTTCATCACGATTGGAGGAAGGCTTATTAACTAGCTGCAATTTGCAGGTGACACTACTTAGCTTGCTGAAAGTAAAGAGGACTTGAAGCACTCTCTGATGAAGATCAGCCCACAGTATGGATTACAACTCAATTAAAAAAAAAAAATTCACAACAGGACCAACAGATAACATCATGATAAACAGAAAAGATTAAAGTTGCCAGGAATTTGACCTTGCTTAGATTCGCAATCAATGCTCATGGAAGCAGAAGTCAAGAGATCAAAAGACACCTTGTGGGGAGGAGACAAGCCAGTCAGGACGCAGTGTAGCAATGATGAAACATACAACTTTCTCTAGTTCTTAAATGCCTCCTTACCACCCCACCCACAACCCCCGACTATCATGATCCCAATTCTCCCTTACAAATCCGGCTAGACCAGAGGATGTACACTGGTACAGATAAGAACTGGAAACGTGGGGAATACAGGACAGATGAAACCTTCAGGACCAGTGGTGAGAGTGGCGATGCCTGCAGGGTGGAGGGAATATGCGGTAGAAAGTGGGAACCGATTAAAAGAATCTACGGATAACCTCCTCCCTGGGGAATGGACAACAGAAAAGTGGGTGAAGGTAGACGTCGGACAGTGTAAGACATGACAAAGCAATAATAATTTATAAATTATCAAGGGTTCATCGGGGGAAGGGGGAGGGAGGGGGAAAATTGAGCTAATACCAAGGGCTCAAGTAGAAAGCAAATGTTTTGAGAATGATGATGGCAACAAATGTACAAATGTGCTTGACACAATGGATGGATGTTTGGATTGTGATAAGAATTGTATGAGCCCCCAATAAAATTATTTTTTTTAAAAAAAGATACCTTGCATTAGTTAATATGCTGCACAAAACCTCTTTAAAGTGTTGAAAGGCAAGATTACTTTTGAGGACTAAGGTGCACCTGACCCAAGCCATGGTATTTCAATTGCCTAATACGTATGTGAAAGTTGGACACTAAATAATAAAGACCAAGGAAAATATGATGCATTTGAACTACAGTGTTGGCAGAGAATACTGAAAGTGCCACGAACGGTCAAAAGAGCAAATAGATGTCCTGGAAGACGTGCAGTCAGAATGCTCCCTAGAGGCAAGGATGGCAAGACTTCGTCTCATGGACATTACACATGTCATCAGCAGAGACCAGTCTGGAGAAGGGCATCATGCTTGGTAAAGTCGAGGCAGAGAGAACAAGAGGAAGCCCCTCAATGAGAAGGTCTGGCACAGTGACTTGCAACAACAGGGTCAAAGAATTGGGAGGCTGGCACAGGACGAGGTGGTGTTTTGTTCTGTTGTACATAGGCTCTCTCTAACTGGACAGCAGCAAACAACAACATTGCGTACCTGGAAGGTTTCCATTGTAATCCACATCTTCTATGCCACATCCCCATTTAACAAGAAGTTGCAAACAGCCAAGCCTCCCATGAAAAGCTGCATAATGCACAGGTCTCCATTCTCTCTTATCAGTCACTCTGGGATCCTAGAGGTAACATTCACAAGGTCTCAGTTTCTTCCCATTTTGTAAAGGAAACACTAAGACCAGAGGCTGATTTCTACGAATGAGAAATGGAGGTTATGCCTACAACTTTTTTTTTTTGCCTACAACTTTTTAAGGCAAACTCTTAAGTTTAATGGGAGAAGTGGAATGACCAAGAAAATGGCAACCATTAGTTTGAATGTGTGAGACTAGTAAAATTTTATAAAATTGCCTTTTTTAAAAGCATGTATTTAGTCACATAAAATCTTCTAGTCATTTTGCAGGTCACAGATTGCTGAGCCCCAAGGAGAGAAATGGATTAGGTGACTAAATTCTATCTTTAAGAGTATAAACAAAGAGTTATGAAAAAATATTTATGAGGGTCTGCACTGTTTTTCTAACTATAGAAGCATCAATTCTTAGCATACTGTCCTCAATATTGGTAGTCTTCATCCTTAAAAGCTGTTTTTTCCCACAACTAGTTAATACTATAAATATTGTGATAAATGAAATCTCTAGTTACATAATATACTAATTAGCATATGCAATAATTTTTTTAAACATCCCAAACCACAGAAAATTGCACAGATTTGCAATTACCTTAGTTAAAACGTATTTGGACGTTTGAGAATTTTCTTATTTCAACCCTAAAACTGACATGAAGAACCCCAAGCCCCTGAAATGTTTATACTACCAAACTGCCCCCTTGGGAGATTAATCTGTTTGACGTTAATCAGAATTATTACCCTATTTAAGATGAAAACTCTGGAGAATTGTATCTTTATTGATAAAGGGCAGGGCGATTTTACAAAACCAGGAGTAATAAAGAGAAAAGAAAAATCTAAAGAGAGTTGTTGGAGGCTTTTTGTATAATTTTCTCTAGATGGCATCCCAAATGCACTCATAGGGTCAGGGCAGAATTGTCCCCATCCCTGTGGGTTTCTGAAACGCTGTCTTTACAGGAGTACAAAGCCTCGCCTTTCTCCCTTGGAGTGACTGGTGGTTTACTACTGCTGATCAACTCGTAACCCACTACGCTTCCAGGGATCCTTTTATGTGCCATCCAGGATAAGTAAACTATTAAATCTAGTAACTATCCCTATAGAATTACATATGACGTGATAAGTAAATTGAGAAAGACAGAAACTAGATTAATAGTTTCTTAGGGTTATGGCAGGGGAGGAGGGAGAGAAATGGAGAGCTAATAAGATGTGCAATAGCATAAAGAAAATGTTCTAAACTTGATTGTGGTGATTGCGTAACTCCTTTTTAATATATTTAAGCCACTGAGTTGTATGGTACATGAACTATATGTCAATAAAACTGGCTTTTAAAAAGGCTAAAGAGAAATATTAAATTACTTCTCCAAAATCATATAAAAGATTTTAAAATCGGGAAGTGCTGTTCTATCTACATAATTACATATCCTCACATAGCAACAAGAACCCCTTACCACTCCACTTCGGAGCATTATCTGTAAAGAGAAAGAATGTCCATGAGCAGCAGCAAGATGTAAAGGATTGCATCCACGATCATCCTGTGCTGACAGATTTGCTCCATTCACTATAAGAGCCTAAAAATAAAGAAAAGAAACCTTGTGTTTGCGTGAGTATAAATATTGGATTATAAATACAGGTATGGGTTATTTAAAGGCAAGCAATTTATTACTGTATAGCTAAACTATAACATATGTATACATGTGCTAAGAGTCCTGGCGGCATAGTAGGTTATAAGTTGGGCAACTAACCACAAAGTTAGCAGATGAAAACCACCAGGTGCTCCACAGGAGAAAAGATGGGGCCTTCAATTACCATAGAGCTACAATCTCTGTACAACCATTGTGGAAAGCGATATGGCACTACCCAAAATCACTGGACTAGAAATACCGTATGACTCAGCAATACCTCTGCTGGGTATATACCCCAAAGAAGTAATAAACAGAACATGAACAAATGTCTGCTCTCCCATGTTCATTGCAATACACAACAGCAAGAAGCTGAAAAGAGCCCAAATGCCCATCATAAGTCTGATACGTACACACAATGGAATACTGTGAATACCCAAAAACAGTGATGAAACCATGAGACACCTCATGGCATGGAAGGTCCTGGAAATCATTATGCTAAGCGAACTTAGTCAGTCACAAAAGGGCAAATATTGTTTATTCCATTATTCAAGGAATAAACACCAAGACAACACCAGGCCTGTTTCCAGGTCATGTAATATTCTAACCCAGTTTCCCAAGCCTTCTAACTGGTAAATTACCCTCCCTTACCTTTCTTCTCGATAACCCTGAGTTAATACGAAAACTGTTACCGTACAGCGGTATGGACCTGCAGTGAATGACAACCTGAAGCAAGAGTGGCCAGTGGACAGATGATCCAAAGGCAAATTTTATTTCAAAAGTACAGCTTTATATATTAATGAGGCAAGGATACACAGCTTGCACAGTGTAAAAACAACATCGTGATAAAATTGCTCTAAGGCAGTGGGTCTTAACCTTCCTAATGCTGCAGTGGGTCTCAGCCTTCCTAAGGCTGCGACCCTTTAATACAGTTCCTTATGTTATGGTGACCCCCAAGCATAAAATTATTTTCGTTGCTACTTCATAACAGTAATTTTGCTACTGTTATGAATCGGGCGACCCCTGTGAAAGGGTCGTTCGAGAAAAAAAAGAAAAAGAAAAGAAAGGGTCTTTCGACTCTCAAAGGGGTCACGAGCCACAGTTTGAGAACAGCTGCTCTAAGCACAAACAATTCCTTGGGACTAATCTTATCTTAACAAATGCAGCTGAGGTCTCAGTGCACACAGGGCATCTTGGGATGTGGGACAACATATGACCATCGTCCCAGCATTCCAGGTTACACAGCATCCCCAAGCACCCCAGAGAGACACCAGTACACTTCAGTTAAAACTCAGTGACTCTCTACAGAAAACCTTTTCAGCTTTGAGCAGTGGCAATATCGTAGTCAATGAGGTTTACCCGAGGCGCGATTATTGCTAAAGAAAAAAAAGAAAACCTTTTCTTAACTTCTTAAAACAGTGACCTCACACATTATTTGTTTTGTGACTGACTTATTTCACTCAGCACAGGTTTCAAAAATGCAGTATTCTTCTTCGATGTTGCACCCATTGTGTGTATGTAAACACCCTAGATTTTATCCATTCCACTGCTGGGCATTTAGGGTGTCCACTTTTTGCTATTGTGAACATGGGTATCTGTGTCACGGTTCTTATTTCCCTAGATATATACCACCTAGTGGATTGCTTAGTCACGTGGTATTTCTATTTCCAAGTTTTTCAGGAAGCACCCTATCGTTTTCCATAGTGGTTGCCCCATTTTACTGCCCCACCAGCAGTGTGTGAGGATTCCAGTCTCTCCACACATTGTCAGTACTTGTTTGCTGTTTTGAACTTTGCTACCAATGCTTGGGTGAAATGAGATCTTATTATTTTGATTTGCATTTCAATAATGAACAACGATTGTGAACTCTTCATGTTTGTTAGCCACCTGAATGTCTTCTTAGGTGAAGTGTCTATTTATGATTTCTGCCTATTTTTTAATTGAATTGCTTGTCTTTTCCTTATTTAGGTATTAAAGTTTTTTATTCATTTTAGAGAGTATATTCTTGTCTGATATGTCCTTTCCAAAAACTTTCCCAGTCTGTAGTTGCCAGCTCTAGGGAAGGCTTTCTCTGTCAGGCCCCTTGTCTCTTCTCAACATCTATGGGCCCAGTGGGCCTTGAAGATCTCCCTGTCTTGGCATCAATCTTCCCTAGTGTCTAACAGATACTCAGCACAGAGAATCTGGGACAAAAGGACACACACTGCTCCCAGCTCTTCTTCCTTGTTTTTAAGATTGTTACAGTTTTATTGGTATATACTTCACATATCATACAATTTAATCATTCTGTCATATTAAGAAGAGTTGCATAATCATCACTAGAATCAATTTCAACACATTTTCTTCTCAGGTTCATTGTTGTTAGTTCTCCATTTCCCTCAATCCTCTTATGCCATGCCCCTAGGCAATTATCAATCCAGTTACTGTCTTTATAGATCTACCTGTCCTATATTTCATATACAGAAAATTATACAAAATACAAATAGGAATCAAATCACCACCACCACCACCACCTAGACAAAACAGAGAAATCTGAATCAAAAAGAAAACAGAAGATAATAAAAATGGAAATGATTTTAAAATGGGTCAAGAGAGAGATCTCCCCAATCCCAACTGTGTGGACAGCCACCCCTCCCCCCAGAAGAATTTATTTCAGAGGACAGCACTGAAGCTACAGCTCAGGGAGAGGGGCATGTCTGATCAGAGCACACGGGAGCAAATGAACAGGGAGGAAGAGAGAGTGGAGCACATTCTGCCCACCAAGCCTTGTGGATGATATCCCTGCTCAGAGCAGCCAATGCACAGAGAGGACCATATGGCCGGCCCCACTATGAAACATGACATCCCTCACTGACCCATAGCCCTATGGGGCACAACACTGGAGACACAGTGTGGGAACTGAGCCCGATCTGACCCACCACACTGAGGCAAAACACTAATGGATGTGCAACAGAACAGCAAGGGGAGCAGAGCAAGGAAATCCCGAGGGAATACCAAAAATAGACTGTGGGGCTAGGGCATGGCACCCCATCAGACTCCACCAGAAAACACTCCTAAAGGTCAACAAACAAACCTTGAACTATTTACAGGCTTTTCTTTTTTGTGTCATTGGTTGTTTGGTTGTTGTTTTTGTTCTTTTGTCACTTTGTTTTGCTGTCTTGTTTTTTTTGTGCATATTATTATCCCCATAGGTCTATCTAGATAAGATAGGCTACAT